TCCACCAACCAGCGATATCCGATATCATTATTAGTCCACCTGACTCTGAGGTGCAAAGAAGCATCTCTGTGTTTGGGGATCGTAATCTGAAGCCAAGAACCTGTATAAAGCCCGATTTTGCCATATAAATAAGACTAGGCGCTAAAGCAGTTCCATTGGCACAGATACAACCAATTGTTGTAATCCATTCTCGATTTCCATCCTGAAGATGCTGCTTATAGCCCCCTTGCTCATATTTGCGCCGAGTAAAGATTCTTTTCCGTTTTGTGCTTACTCCAAGCATGAAGCCCTTCTCATCCATATTATAGATTTGCTCTGGGCCGAGGTTATATTGCTGTATTTTCCGTCCAATAAGCTCAAAATATAAAGCATATTTATATGCCGAATCTGCCTTTTTTCTATCCGAATCAAGGCCCGTTGAATAGCGAGAAATCACCTTATCCGAATGAGCCTTGAGCCAGCGTGAAGCCCAGTTTTTCCCAGGCTCTTTACCAGATATTTCTCTTGCAAAGTTCGCTAACATTGAATTTGTAGGGGGCAGGCCTCGCTCGGTGAGTTGATTTATCCATTTTATAAGCGCTCTTGATTGCGTGGTGGTGAGTATTCGTTGCTTGTCGTATTGCTCTTCTTTTGAGCCTGTAACGCCGTGAAAACGTTTATAAAGGCCCGATTGGCTAACGCCGTATGTTCTTGCAACCAAACTAATATTAGGCTTTTCTCCAGGATCCGCTGAACGTAATGCTGCAAGTGCGAGCTCCATTGAAGCCATATTGGTTGATATATCGCGGTGTGAAATATTCGCGATTTTTCGCGTTTTGGGGTAAATTTATTCCTCAGGTGGGTTTATTCCTCAGGCGGTGAGGGACGGTATGTAAGCTAGATTGTGAAGGGTGAGAATAGCTTCAAGTCGGAGCTCAATTGGGTAAGTCGCGTATAGCGCATAGCGATATGTAAACTCTAGCTAGGCTCTGAGGTGCTTTTTTCTTTCATGTTATACGGTACGCTTATTATATTCTTATTGCTCGATAATCGCAGTCATAGTGCTTGAAAATCAGTCTTTCAAAAATCTCTAATAGTTGCAACAAATGATTTCAGCCTCAGTGGACTAAGCCGATTTTGTCCGTTTCAATATCCATGTCAACTTGCTGCCATGGTTTGTGTGTAGATTCATTCGCATTGATCTCTCTCGATATATGAGCAATGGTTCTCGCAACGTCTTCTTGCGTTAGAACGAGAGTAGGCTTCCTGCCAACTACGAGATCTATAGCAGGCTTTTCATATTCTCGACACAAAGCAACTATCTCAGGCTTGGCATTCACGATGTACGTGATGAGAGCCTTCAGCTTGGGTTTTTTCAATTTAAGCCTGTCAAACGTGTCAGCACCCCTATTCAGATTAAAGTTAGATTGTTTTTTACATCTTTGAATCGATGCTGTTCCACACGATCAGTGAGCCCCATCCAACGTAGTGAGAGACTAGAAGCCATTTTCTTCCCCAAGAATTATTGTTGATGAAGGACTGCCGATCCTTGTCTTTAGATGAACGATCCGGATGCTCACCATCGTGGTCTCCTAGACCCTCAAAATAGTCAATGACGTGACTTGAAATCTTACTCTTATTACGATCACGCTGATCCATTTCCTTCTGTAGACGTACGAAGGTCAGGTGGAATTGGATCTGCGCAAAGCGACGTCTGACCGCGTTGATCTGCGTCTCTTCTTTGAGATCCTGAAGATATCGAAAAATTCTGTAACATGATTTATCAGTCGGCAGATTTTCAGCTACAGGAAGACGGAGAGGGTCAGGGTTCCAAAAGCGATCTGTCTGCCAGAGCTGGCTTTGCATCTCAAGAAAGCTTGCTAGATTAGGTCGTGAAATGAGCGTTGCTAGACTGAATATCTCCATGAGATGGGTTTCTTGTAACGCTGAATCGCTACCAGGCCCAAACAGAGACCACATTTGAGCGTAATTTGAATGTCTCATTACCGAATGAGACTCATCTCGTTGATGGGATATCGTAGTCTCAGGGGTGGCCTTGTTGACATCCGAACTTTTAGATTTCAATAATCGCTTGTGCGTAGGGTTTACCTGTGTTGTAGACCGTCCACGCTTTGCTTTTTTGACTTTCATAGATTGCCCCTTTTTAGACCCGTATAAGTGTTTCGAGGGACGATCCACCTTAGCTGCTACAGGACAGCCACGTGATAAGGTAGGAGGGTCTCCATCACAATCGGTTCGCTGGTCTAGCTCTGCTTGTAGGATGAAATTATCGCCTTCACCGCTCACATCTTCCGCAGTTGGTTGTCTGTTTGCCAACATCACTACCTTATTATTCTCCCTAGTTGAGCAATCTAACGATTCAGCAGTCGTTGGTAGACTTGTTATTGGGTTCTCATGCACAGTAGATGGTAGAATCTTGTCGGTCCAGTTGTGTTCGAAATCACCCGGAACCAGCCACTCAGACCAGTCGATCAAACCGTCACTCGGAGGCGCCTCGTTTCGCGGCTCGTTCTGTATATTTAGTCGGTTCGGGGTTATACGTGAGGCATCTTGTACTTTGTCTGGTTCTAGTGTACAGGGATCTTAGCATGAACAAGAGAGAACCGCCCGGAAAAAAACAGTATACTATTAAAGTAACCACATGTATCACATACCTGTCAAAAAAATGTCCTCCACCAGACCGCTAGGCTGTAAGATCGAGGAGTTCTCCGTATTTCCTGGGAAGAAATAGAACTTCACATCGACGTTCTCTTCAGCGACGCGGGCAAGCCTTTGACTAGCTTCTAGGAATTCGAAAACAGCCGATTCATGCTGGCAGTTTGATCAGCGAGGATATCTACTGGTTTTAACAAGAACCGACCTCTGGGTTTTCTTTGATTGAACGGACGAGATACTCTGGGAGATGGCCATAATCATACTCCTGTTGTTTACAGTGTTAGAGACACAACACAGTAACGGAGGATGAATTACCTGGAGGTTCATAATTATACACAGTATCTCTGGAAATATGATGGTATGTTGAAAGAGGGAAAATGTAGCGATAGTCGGGTACTTTGGGGGGGTGGGGGGGAAGAGGGATGGCGGGTAGATAAAGTTGAGTTGATCACAGTTGGTGCAGAAGGAACCGACAGCAATCCATTTTTGGCTCTGAGCGTCCTCAGAATTGTGAGGGTTCGAAACGGGAACAGTGATCAAAAACGGCTCCTGGTACCGTAAGCCAAGCTGCTCGACAGAACACGGTGACAGCATTATCGCGAATGTCAGCCATTACGATAGGGATTATTGCAAAACAGATGCTGACTGTCTATTTTGTTTCTAAGATTATGGGTTATTAGATTTGAATTGAGCTCCTGTCTCTCCTATCTATAGTTTGTACTCAGCCATGGCGTAGCTCAGGGTTACGGCTAGAAAAAGTTTCGGGAGCTAAGATAAATATGGCTAGCTTCATTCATGGATCAGGGGAAATCAATTTCAAAAGTCTTTTTTATTTGTATCTCAGTCATAGTTATTTTTGAGTAAATATTTTCACTCCAACATATTCCTCTTATCCTCAATTATGTCTCATTCTTCTGATAACTCAATATCTCTGGAGTTAGGAGAGCAATTGCACTTTTTCCCCTCCTATCTTCGTATCCTTACAAACTGGCGGGTAATTCTTTGCACTGATCATGGATCATGCTATACTCGCCATAATCTTCCCCAACATCTTCTTCAAAAACATCATATTAAACGACCACAACGACGGGAAATCGAACAGTATCCAGACTATCAATTGATTGCAAATAACTTGGATGAAGTGATATATCCTACAGATGGAATTACCGAGATCAATGATCTTCCGACCGTACAAGGTTTTCTCTGTCATATAGAAACCTGTTCCTATCGATCTCGCAATATTGATCGTATACGACAGCATTATAACCAGGCACATGGATGGCGCAAAAGTTAAGGAATAATGCCTTGGAATCATGCACATCTTCAAACATTATTTTAGGAAAAGGAACAAATTCGTTACTTTACTGTAGTACCAGCTAATCTATTCTCCTTACCACGTGTCTCTCCATCTATCACATCTACTCTTACTACAAATGATCTACCTTC